GGGTCCATTTTCGCCCAAAACGATTAAATTTCGTATCAATTTAAGCTAAAAATATTTTATATGTAATTTACTTAAAATATTTTTTTAAATTTCAAAATTTTTTATAAAAATTTCGTTTTTAGGGTCACCGAACACCTGTCACCTCGAAAAACATGAAAAATCCGATTGTCTTAGAATTCGACAAAATTTGTCTGGGTAACTAGATTTCGCGAGACGAATCCGACGGTGAGGTTTGTTTCATCATCTGAGGTCTAGAAAAATACCAGTTTTTTTTTAACCTGCACTATAATGGCAAATTACCATTTTTACCCTTTTTAAGAAAAAGTTAAAATTTTTTCCAAGGTTTCACAAAACCACACGTTGCCATTAACTTCCTCGGATCCATCATAGGCCAACAACAAAGTAAATCTCCCTTCATTATTTGCTTTCTTGGCATAATTTACATATTCTTCAATGCCTTTATTTGCATTTGCCCAACACTCATTGCTATAATGCCCAAACTTGTGACAATTGAAGCATTCAACATTTCTCTTGTCAAAACCTTGATTGTTGTAATTGCCTCTTGCTCTTCCTATTTCTCTACCTCTTGAACCAAAAGAATTTTGATTTCTTGCATCATTTGTGAATTGACCTCTTCCTCCTCTACCTCTATTAGCATAGCCTCTTCCACAACCTTCGTAGCCTCTTCCTCAATTGCCATAACCTCTACCTCGTGTTCCATTACCTCTTCCTCTTTGGGATGTACTACCTTGAAATTCTCTTTTTTCATCTTTCAAAGACAGCTTGGATTAGAGAGCTTGTTCAAGAGAACTTGAAGTCTTTTTATTAATACGCTGCTCATGTATTTCCAATGTCGACATCAATTCATCAACGCTCGTAGTCTTGAAATACATGGATTGCTCAACGACTACAACAACATGCTCAAATTTTGGGGATAAGATTCGTAGTACTTTTTCCATAACTCGAACATCATCAATATCTTCTCCATACCTTCGCATTTGATTCACAATCACCAAAGTTCTTGAAAATTACTCCAAAATTGACTCGACTCCATTCATATTCAACCCTTCAAATTCACTTCGCAATATTTGAAGATGAACTCGAATTGTTTTATCAATGCCTCTATGCATACTCTTCAAAATCTTTCAAGGTTGCTTCGAGATGATGGCGGAAGAAATCTTCTCAAAAATGTTATCGTCAACACATTGGTAAAGTAGAAATAAAGCCTTCTTATCTGTCTTCCTTTATTGCTTAAGCACCATCTTTTAAGCATCATTAAGTGCTTGTTCTTCCTCCGTAGTCAGCTCGATGTAATATTTTTCAACAATTTTTGAAAGATCTTGTGGTTGTAACAACACCTTGATTTGAATACTCCAATTCCCATAATTATCTTTCCCCAATTTGGAAAATTGGTGTTGAAGCACATTACTCATAGTAGCCATGACAACTTGCTCTGATACCAATTTTGTTGGGTATTGGAAGCAAAATAGATTACAAAAGGAACACAAAATCAAGTAAAACAGAGGACAAAAATCTGCTATACATCCACACCAATTTTACTCAAAAAACACCTCTATATTTCATCAAAATGATCACAATATCAAGGAATACAAAGGGGATAACTTATCTGAATTTTTTAGCAAAAAACACCCAAGAAATACAAAGGAATATAGCTTCTTCTCATGAACAACCTGCTGCGTTTTTTCTGGCAGCAAAACAGATTTTGTTTTACTCTCTTGCTCTCTGTTTTTTCTGCAGATACACTCCCACCGTTTTGGGCAGCAACTCCTTTCCTTTTATACTAATTTTTCCTAGCCCAAACACCTTGAATTTGGCCACTTCATGGCTAGCTACTTCCAAGCAAAAACTGTTTGAATTCCCATGTAGTCATGCATGAACAAGCCTCCCAAGAACATGAACAGACCTCCAAAAATCTAGACTATTCTAGTGACTACTTCTTCAAATACACAAAAGCCTCTAAACATGCTTAAATACCATCTAACACCACAACTTTTCAATATTACATCATAAACCCAAAAATACAAAACCTACCTTTTAAAAATTGAGTTTATAAAAACAAACAAGAGGGTTAGTGAAGAACCGATGGTGGAGTGATGAGTGTGTTTGTTAGGGATCTACGTTTTTGCTTTGTTATGGATCTAAATTAGAGTTTGGTTAAATTACAATAATGAGAGAGTGAGAGTTGCAAAACCGTGAGAGAGAGAGATAGAGTGTGTGTCTGATTAAGTGAGAGAGTGAGAACCAATATAGCTGAGCCAGTTCACACTTCGCAGCTCAACAGTCTATAGTCCACACCCTAGAGACAATAACAATAAGTTTGTAAGCAAGAGAGGGTGAGAAAGAGAGTGAGAGAGAGGGTGAGAGAGAGGGTGAGAGAGAGAGAGAGTTTACCTGAAGGAGTGAGGATGAGTTGATCATGCGGTTGACGGTCATCTAGGACAAAGGAAGAGGCAGGCAGTCACAACACGTGCGACGAAAATGAAAAACTAAAGCTGCGTTTGGTAACGTTTTCATTTTTATATTTTTTTGTGATAAAAATTAAAAATATAAAACATGTTTAGTAGTTATTTATATTTAAAAAATTATGAAAACAAAAAAAAAATCTATTTGGACTAATACCAAAAATTTGCCACCCAACTCCACCTAAACCCACCACTAACAACCACCCAACCCCACATCTAACCCCCGAAATCCACCAGCCACCACCCCCAAACCACCTAAAACCCACCACCACCATCCCAAAAACCCATCCTCAAACCCCCACCCCCAAACCCCAAAAAGCCAACCAGAAACCTCCAACCCCCAAAAATCCACCATGAAACCGCCCCAAATCACCTGAAACCCACCATCAACACCCCAAAAATCCACCCTTAAACCCCCTGAAACCCTCACTCCCAAACCCCGAAAAGCCAACTTGAAACCCCCCACCCCCAAAAAATCACCCTAAAACCACCTAAACCCACCCCCAAACCACCACCCCCACTCTTGAAAATCCACCACCCACCACCACCTTGAAAACCCCTTCAAACCCCTACCCCAAACCTCGAAAAGCCAACCTGAAACCCCCCACCCCCAAAAACCCACACTAAAACCACCCAAACCCACCCCCAAACCACCACCCTCACCCCTAAAAATTCACCACCCACCACCCCCAAACCACCTGAAACCCACCACCACCACCCCCGTAAACCCACCCTTAAACACCTTGAAAACCTCTCCAGAAAAAAACGACCCCCAAACCACGAAAACCCAACCTGAAACCACCACCCCCACCCCCGAAATCCATCACCCACCACCCCCTGAAACCCACTAATTTCTTCTTCGTCTTTATCTTCAATTTCATCTTTGTGTTTGATTTCATCGTCGGCCTCTTCATTTTCTTCTTTGTCACTAGTTTCAGGAGAGAGAATAAGAGAGAGGGAGAGGCAGTTAGACAAATGAGGGAAAGAGACGAAGGCACTAAAAAAGAGGAGAAAAAAGGAGTTTTTATAGGTGGTCCAAAAAAATCTCATTTTGTTGCTAATGAGATTTGAAGGCTGGACCTTATTAACTGTTATACCAAAAATCACGTGTGTTTTTAGTTTTTGATGTTTTCAAAAGCATCATTTTTTACGTTTACAGATTTTGATTGTGTTTTCAAAACAATGTGGCTTAAAAAAAACAGAAACACATCACAAATAAGTTATTGTTTTTTTTTTTTTTTTGCAAAAAGTGAAAAAAAAAACGTAAACTCTTGATTACCAAACGACACCTAAGAAAGTGAAATGGGGAGGGGGGGGGTTAGGGTTCATTTACATAGTAGTGGGTCATTTAGGTCAAATGAAAACGGGTGAATCAAGTAATACAGGTTGAATACAAATATGACCAATTAATAATTTGTGTTAATGAGTCGTGTCATATACGGGTTTGTACTAAAAATAGTCAACACAACTGATTAATTTTGTATCGTGTTTGTATTGTATTCGTACAGTGTTGTCATGTTTTGTCGGAATTTGTTACCTCTATATTTGTATTCTGCTATTTCCAAACATACAATATAATAAAAATATATCATGTTTCTTTTCAAACTTATCCCAAAAATCTAATTGGATGAATTTGGAGTAACATGCCTAAATCTCACAAATTCTAATATGTGAAACTTAATAAAAGTCTCCTATATGTAAAGTAAAAATACGATCAAACGTTTTGTCTACGAAAACACATGTTTAGTGACGTGTCAGCCAAGTGCCCTTAGATTTTGACGAAACTGATTAATTTTGTATTGCGGTCCCAAGTTCATGAAAGTTGAGTGCAAAAAAGTAAATTTTTGTTTACAACTGCTCTAAGGTACAATGAATTTTTATTTTTATAATTAACCCTTACCAAAAAATAAGAAGGAAGTTAAAAGCAGAGTAACGGCTGATTAAATGCTGGATAGATGAAGCGAGAGAACGTCAAAGTAATCAGCCTCCACTATTCATAGCGCTGAGAGAATACAACCCTAGAGGATAAAAACTACATGGGTGAGCCGCCACTTGTCCTCCTACCAAATAGGAGTTTGTTACCTATCTTCTCTCCGCTTAGTAACCTCCCCCACGTCCCCTCGTATCTCTCTCTCCCTCTCTCACATACACACACACAGAGACACAGTAACAGCATAGAAGTGTTAGTTTGTCTAGTTTGTTTAAGTTTTACGAGTCTACTGTCATTCAACACAAACAGAAAGCAACAGGTAAAAGACAACAACTCCTGTATGATACAGGCTGTATCTCTCATTGTCTTTGTCAAGTAATCTGTAATCTACTTCCCCAATCTTACTCTTCTCTCTTTGGTATCGATAGTTTTCTGCTTTCATTACACTGACTAACTGCTTTATCATGGATCTCTTTCTATTTCATGTCTTCACTCTTCATTACACTAAATTCTATTACCTCTAATCCTCTTCTACATTTTCTTATCAAGCTAATCAACTTTTTTTTTCTTTTCAGATTTATTTCTCGATGGCTCTAAGCTACAGCTCAAACTGGACATTTCAGCACCTCAATCCAGACGTAGGTATATTCCCACAAACACAACCAGAGCTATCTTCAGAGCTCTTGGCCTTTCACGACGACTTTGCAGTTTCAGACACGTATATTGATCCATTCTTTGAGCAGGAAGAGTTGTTCTACTCAGACAACTACACCTATCTCATCCCATACCTTTCTTCTGAATCCATTTGCTTTAACTCCCTCACCCCAGAACTCTGTACACCCCAAGATTTCGAGCCATATCATTGTCTAAAACGCCAAAAGTTCGGTGAAGATGACTACTCCGATTTTCCACCTTACTATAAGTTTGTTCCGAATCCCCCGATTCTACAAGAAGTGTCACCGGAACTGCTTGTTCCATTGCCGGAGTTTCAGAGTCCACTGGTTTATGATGGTGGAAGTGTTGGAAGTGCAAAGAAACCGAGTGGAGGGACCTTGTCGGCGCAGAGCATCGCTGCACGGGAGAGGAGGAGAAAGATAAGTGATAGGACTCAAGAGCTTGGGAAACTTGTTCCTGGTGGCCAGAAGATGAACACTGCTGATATGTTCGAAGCCGCTTTCAAGTACATCAAGTACTTGCAGGCCCAAGTTGGTATTCTCGAATTCATGGGGTCAATTCAGGTGAAATTTGTTTCTATTGCTTGTAATCTTTTGACTCTTCCCCTCTTGTTTTGGCCTTTTTCTTCTTTCTCAAGGGTAATAATTTGTACATCAGGTGAAATTTGTATGTGTTACTTTTACTGTTTTCCGGTGGTCCCCTCTTGTTTTGGTCCTGGATAATAGTTCTTGACTGCAGTGATGTTCTAAAATCATCTTTATAATGGCCAGTCATTATGAATTTCGAATTGTTCGAGTGAATGAACAATTTAGTTGTGCTTATTTTTCTGGTTTCTCTCTGAAATTTTGCAAACATTTCTCATGCTATCTCCCAAAATTATCTTTGAATGAAATAATAAAATTTGATACAAAAAATATGGGTCTTTGAAAGAAGAAATTGGTTTCATAGAGTCGATCCCAAAAAAGTTGAGACAAAGCTTTATTGGGTTGAATATTTTTCATCCTATTGGCACAAGGAATATATGGATTCTTGAGAAGAGAGGAGCTGTGGTGGTCCCCGGACTGTTCTGATTTCACGAGTGAATCAAAAGTTAGATCTACATTGGATCTCACCTGAATCGGTTTATCTTTCCTCCTTATGAGAAGTTTGGTCTCAAACCCCAGTTCAAAGAGGAGGAGTAAGGCCATCTAGTAGCACAACTTTAGACCAAATTTATTGTTAACCTGATAGTCATATAGACAGCAGAAGTAACATGCAACACTGATAATTCTATGCAGGACAATGATGAAGCTCTGTGTGCTCAAGAACTCCAAGTTCTTCTTGGATCTCCTTTTGTTCAACAGAAGTTGTACTCAGCAGAGAAGTGTTTGGTCCCCAAGAAATTTGTTCAAAATCTAGCAGAAGATCCTGAACTTCAATCGGACACTCAGGTCTTGAAAGGCATCAATCAGTTGCTTAAAACTGGTGGCTAATTGGAAGATTGATCAAGCTACAAGCTAAAGCACAACCTTGTTTTTGTTGTTGTTTTCTTGTTATAGCATTTCCGTTGTTGGGCATTTATTTTTATTCCTTTTTCGTGTAAATTCCTCTTGTACGGAAAATGAATTTGGGTTTGGTTTATTCGGACTTCAGAGGAAGAACTGATGTTCTGTTGTTGAAATCAAAATTCATGTAATTGCTGATACCCAAACCTAGTTAATCAGTCATAGTAAATCCATATTGCCAAAAAAATAATAATAATAAAGCTGAAATAGATTAATAAAATCTTCTTATACTGCTCACCATGACTTAGTTAATTAAGTGGTCGAAAAAAGGACGATGCCTAGGCACGTGTGTTCCCATTTCGATTTCTATTGGCCTTGTGGTTTCTAAGGGATTACGTTTATCCAAAATTTTCATTGCAGTCATAAATACAAATGACATGTGTGATGAACAGTATAAAAATTAATTGTTAATACGTAAATTAGAGCATTAATTGTGATCCTATATTTTAAAATTTTAATTTTAGAAGTTTCGAATAAATAAATGGGCCTCAACTATGAATTTCTTGCGTACAAACGAGTCAAATAACTATGATATAGGTCATATTTTATATTAAAATAAATATAACATAATATTTGAATGATTTACTAAATGAATAATATATCTATAACATGTATGTAAATATTTATGAGGTGACATATGCGTGGAGATGTAAAATATATATGTATATATATTGCATGGACAAGTGTCCATGATATAGGTATAACTATGTAACCACCTTTACATTGGTTGACGTCAAGGCCATGTTTATAAATAGCCTTTCAGACAATGAGCAAGCAAGAGGAAGAAAAAAAAACAGAGAGAGAGAGAAGAAGGAAGAAAAAGAGAAGAAAAGAGAGAGACACTGACTAGATTTTGGAGTCCAAAATTAAATAATAATTTTACTTTTAATTTTTACTATATTGAAGTGTCTTGTTCGAGGTATTTTGAATTGCTTATTTATTGAAGTTATTGATGACTTTGATGTACGAGATTGTATACAATATGTTCATGTATTTTATATCTCTTTAAAAAGAGTGTCATTTGATTATTTGAAATTTGTATTCCTATTGATTATTCTGATTAATACAAAATTTTATCAATTTTATTGGTTGACCTGTAGTTTTGGCTAATATTTTAAGATTGATTAATACATGTACAAAGTGTACTTGAGGCATAATTGGTAAAATATTATTATAGTTATGTGGGCTGCGATTGTGATTACAGCTCTGTGTGGTGTGATTGGTTAGTATAATATGAATTTATATGCTTAAATATCACTTGTCATGTCTCTACGAGGAAGCAAGTATAAAACTATGTTTGATAGCAGTTGAGTTATTTGGTCTCTCGAATGTGATTCTTGATTCTATAATCCATGATCCTTATCATCTGAGTCATTTGATATTTAATTGTTCGTATTTTTTCGTTTATCGTTGAGCATATTATTTCCTGTCATATTATATACTTTCCCACTTTTAATATTTTTTTTCAAAATTATCTCGGAGGGAAATACCAGAGTGGAGATATGAGAAAGTTAAAGATTTAAAACTTTTTTGCGTTTATTGTGGTTATATATAATTTGAACAGATTCGTTTTTATATTGAGGAGATAATTTTTATTTTGAGGTAATTAGAGCTCTGACCCTATATTCAAAGATTTATTTGTGATTTATTATGATCAATTAATTTAATTAAGTAATATGTCTTGGAAACGAAGCATTACTACATACGTTTAGAATAGTTCACCTTTATATAGAAAACAAAAAAGGAAAAAAGAATTTGCCCAAAAAAAAAAAAAAAAATTTATGTCATGAATATTCGGTGACAACGGGTATTTGGGCATGAGGTCGAAGGAGCTTGGCAACTTGGAGGAGTTCTAAATTGTCAGTGCGCCAACTCTTAGCCCGACAGAGTCTTATCTCCTCATGGCCTTGACTAATTCAACTTCGCTGAGATTCCTATTCCAGCAAAGAGTCAATTTCCACTACGCCGCTAGCACCTCCTTAATTCAAATTAAAGGTAACGATCCTCCAACAGTCTAACTAAACAACCTATAAAAAGGGAAAGCTGAAGATGATCCAAATATTTATTATTTTTAATGTTAGCCCAAGGACTCATTGAGGTACACACTTTTAATCTTAGTTGAATACTCTCCTTCCAAAATTCTTTTCCGACTTAAGCATGAGAGAGTGGAGCCCTCAAAGAAGACATATTGGAAGGCATGAGATAGTTATAGATAGCTAGTTGGTTTACTCCATTTTTTTTATGCTCGTGCTCGCTTGCTCCCGTTGATTGGATCTTCAATTGTCAGATACTTTTAACAAAGAGTCTGTTTGTTTAGCAAGATAATGCTAAAAAATACAAAAAAGAGAAAATTCTAAAATTTTACATGTGTTTGTTTACCATGAAATAGAAAATGATAGAAAAAAATAATTTTCTTCTATGCTTAGATTTTCTTATATCTAATTAACTTTTTTTTTCTTGCAAAAAACACAATAAAAAACAAGAAAATTATGTTCAGTAGCCTAACTTCTCATTTTACCGTTGTTTTTCTTAAAATATTAAATTAGTTATTAATTTAAAAAAACTTTGTACAAATTTGGTTAATGGGTTCGAGTCGATCTTTGTTCTTGAATTAGGTTAGGAGCTAATTTTTTAAAAAATTTTGAATAATAATAATAATAATTCTTCTTTAGACCGAGTTTAAATAATTAATGATAATTTAGACAATTAAAAAAAAATTCTTATAAATTTCTTTTTTTTTTTCAAACAATGGAATGAAATTGTTTTAAAATTTTCTTAATTTTTTTTTGATGGTGTTAATTAAGTGAATTGAGAAGAATGTACGAATTACGCAAATCAGCCTGGATCTAAGTGTTACAAAGTTCATGAGGATTGTGGTAAGGTTCTTGGGAAACTAGTATGACTTGCTTAGTGAAAGTATAATGGTTCACTGACTCGGGAGCTCGGTTAGTCCACTCTTCAATAGAGTTTCTTACTTCTCGGATCTATATTAATGGCCATTATGAATTACAGAGTGATTCTGATACAATCAGAGTTCTTCCTCTTTTGATGGAGGCACTGCACCGTATTTATAGTCCAATTCTTGTCTCTAAGGGATCTGCAGCGAGATCCTTGCCCTTCATCTGTGGGATCTCCCTTGATTTTGGGAGAAGATCTTGCATGGTTGAGAGTTTTGTGCCTTAATTATAGCCTTCTAATTTTCTTTATTGTTTCCTCTGAAGGGAGCTCAAGGTCTAGACCACTGAGCTCGGGGTGCCTTATTTGACCTTCTTGTCTGACCTCACTTCCGAGCTCATACTTAGTTAAGATTTTTTCCTGGTATCATCAGTTGCCCCATAGTTTCTGATCAAAGTGGGTTTGGTCAAGGGTTGAGCTGAGGTAGACTTCCACTTAAAGACTTCGATTTACGCGTGAACGAGTTTTTTTGATGGTTTTGAGTAATCATTTCTTCCTTGAATTTCGTGCACATTCCCCACTTGGAGGACCCACGTACTGTAAGCTTTAAATGCTCCTAAGTCAATGGATAATGCCTCATTTCTCTTTTCGGTCTCTCTCTCTAAACTTTAACTTTTCAATTTCTTTGGATTTCAGCCTCCCAAATTTGCTGTCGTTCCTAGGGTTTCACAGAAAGACGATTTCCACTGGTTTGATCTGAAGGGTTTAGCAAGGCTTGCTCTTTGACTTCGTTCTAAGCTCTAGTCCACCGTTCGTTTTAGGTATGCTTCTCATTTTTTACCTATTTTCTCGTGCCAGATCCCTCGAATCTGAGGTGGTTACTGCATTTTTGGACTTTTTGATTCTGTTATTTTAGGACTTGTCTTGTCTTCCTCTCTTTCTTGACTCTTATTCTATGGCTAGGATCTTTGTCATTGGTCGCTGGTGTCTTGGCCCCTTAAATCTCAGAGAGTGCTTTTCGGAGATTCCCCCGCTTTATAGGTACTTTAAACTCCCATTCTCTTGTCCAATTATGTCTACTTCTTCTGAAGCCATAGGTTTGTCGATTTACCTTCTGAGAGATAAATCCCCCGAAGTAGAGGAGGATGAATTAGGAGAGGTTGTGATGAAATATATAATTTTCTCGGGGTTGATGCTATAGAGACGATTGATGTTCCTCCAGTTTCATCTGGAACTCCTTCCAATTCTAAACGTTCTCAGAAAGGAAAAGCCAAGGTGGGCTCAGGTAGTGGCGAGGTCTCTAGGCCTATTCCTCAAACATCCGACCTCACTGGACATAGTGAGGTCACTGCCCCTCTTATGAAAGTTCTTTCTACTAGGTTTTAGTTTCCTGAGGGTATGCGTTATTGGATTCCCCCAATCGATATTAGGTATGATTCTGAGGTCCCTGAGAAGACCTATTTTTTCGAAGCTTCCCTTGAGAACGGGCTCAAGTTCCCTGTACATCCCTTTATCAAGTTCGTCCTTCAACACTTCAATGCTTGCCCTGCTCAAATTTTCCTAAACTTCTAGGGTGTCTTGGTTGGCCTTCTCTTCTTTTTCAAGAGAAAGGAAATCGAGACCCCTTATGTTTCTTTACTCATGAAATTCTTAAATGTCAAGTTCTAGCCTAATGGCTTTCTGTACATTTCCAAACGGGTGAAAAACCCCGCTTTGATCGCTGATCTGCCCAACTCCCACAAAAACTGGAAGAAACAATTCTTCTTTGTGTTAGGAAATGCGTGAGAATTTAACCCGACTGATGTCACTAATACTTTTCTAGTTCCAAGCTCTTGGGCAGGTCCCGACAACCAGGGTGAGTTCTCTTTTTAGGCAAGCTCCCTTTGTTTTTTTTTTACAAGATGACTTCGCTTCTTTGGGTTGTTCAAGTGTCCACCCCCGAGTTGGAAGCCGAGGACAGGCTTGCTTTAACCACCTTTAGAAGTTAGGGCTTCGAAAAATATTCTGATTTGATCAAGTATTTTGAGCTCACT